GGGGGTAGAGGAGGAAGAGAAGAAAAAACAGAGCGACAGAAGTTCATGTTCATCATTCGGAAATCGAACTCGGGTCTCCTTCGCGCGACAGCAGAACTCCTAACCGCTTCACCACAGATGCCAGTTCCCAGGGTTGGTGGGATCGAGCTTCAAACCTTCTCGGATAAGGACAATTAGTTTTTGAGGTCCCAGGAGAAAGTTTTGCACCTTAATCGCTTCGCGGCTCTAACATCGATAAGGAGTTCCAGAAAGCTCTCCAAGACCCCTGCTTGACAAAAGTCAAAATTAATTCCTACCCAAGAGTGAAACTAACTAGATCTACTCTTGTTAGTGTAAACGGGGCCTGCGTTGGAGTGATTAGGCACTTCGCAGTCGCAAGCAGGAGGCCCGAGTTCGATCTTTGAGTACCTAGAGTGGAGGAAATTTGTATCGAATCTGCTGAGATGTATCCATCTTAGCCCGAGTTGGCCCGATGGGCAGGGTCGAAACTTGCCTCCTAAATTGCCTAAATGTGTCGATGAGGGTGTAAAATTGCCTACGCTTATTTAGAGTGAGTATTTTAGAATCTCTTATAGATAAGATCTGTCTTGAGGGCGATCTGTTAGCTCAGCTGGTATCATGTTGAACTACAGAGCGTATGGCCCTGGTTCGAAGCCAGGTCGTTTTGTGGAGTTTTCAAGGCTCTAAACCCATTTGACTCGGTCCTATTGCAGAACGGCGTTAAATTCGGAGGTCCAGTCATTAAAATAACCTTCGTGTTCAAAGGGTTCTTGAACCCAGATTGCTCTGTCTTATTTTCATATTTTTAGAAATAACGCTTTTATTCTCGCAGTAGTAGATGCGTTTATGCAGGTGTTATCATTTTCAGTTGCTTTGTCACTGAGCCAGCCTCCTGATCACAGTTATCATTATTTTATTATCATCATTGTTACTATTATTATTATTACCATTTCATTTTTTATTATTATTATTAATAGTATTAATATTATGCTTAATGTTAGGTACTATTATTTTTTTTTTTATTATTATTATTG